AATATCTTGTTCATCGCATCGCCAGGTTATTGACTAAGACATAATTCATGCACAGTGATATTAAGTGACTACATAACAAAGTGTCTCAAGGGAAATTTTATTATACTAATATATTTTGATAATGACTTTATAAAGAATAATAAAAGTTATTAAATAATTTTTTTATATATTTTGTTATTATATACGTTTAAATATTTATAATTTATATTAAAAAATTTTTAATATAAATATATAAATTTTAGCATGTTTCAATTTTTAAATTACTAAAAATTATATGTACAATATATTATATATTTGTATAAATTATATATTTATCAAAATTTTTGATTACTTGTATAAAAATAATATTAAAATTATTTAATATAAATATCAAGATTATTGAAATAGATATCTAATTAATCGTCCCTGAATAATATATAATTATTTATTATTATTATTATTATAATAAAATATAATTATTTATTGTTAGAGATATTCATTGTACTTACTTTATATGCGATGAGTTAGAAGCAGTGATATTCCGTAGGTCTCGATGAGAAATTATCAGAATCTGTGGAAACGAGGAGATAATAAGGATGAATTCAAAATTCCGCGGGTCGCGCATGCGCATCAGTCCACGGGCCAATCACCTCGTTGCTTCGAAGCGGCCGTCCGTCTCTGTCGTAGCGACACTGCGGGTACACGATGTGATAGTATTTTTCGAAAAATGTGTCGATCTTTCGCGCACTCATGCATCCGCTTTTTCACGTGAGCCAGCCGCGATCGCCGTGTGCTTTATCTTGTGCTTGCCATCGCTGTTGGCGTGTGAATAATGGGCCAGTCGTCGAGTAACACCGGACACAGCGGTGAGTGTCGATTTTACATCCGTATTCGTAATTGTGTGTTGTTAGTCGTCCCGACGTTTTTTCGAGTTGCACTGCACGCTTGACATGTGTCAACTGCGAGGGCTCTTGACTTTGCTGCCAGCTCCTGCGCAAGTTTCGTTGACTTTTTCCATGGCATTGCGTCGTTTGCGACGAGAACCTTCTCGATAGGGCCGTGTTTTCGCCGAAACAACGATAGTTTCTCTTATAGGATACAATGATCACGTTGCCTTTGAGGTTATGTCAATGGGCACATTGATGTAACACGGCGATTGTAGAATCGCTTTTTGGTTCGTTTATTGTGTTATCGTGTTACATGACATCTCCGTGTTTGGTATTGTTTATTTTTTTATAATACTTCTTTTCGTTGTTTCGATGTTACTGTTTGGCCATCATCGATTGTTGATTTAACTACCGCAGTGGTTGAATCTGCGCAAAACGATCGTTATCGCCATAGCGTTTTTTTTAAATTCAGTCGATCGGTTAAAGTTTTTTCGTATCTTATCGTTGTAAAAATTCTGAAGTACTATTCATATACGATCAAACGTTTATTGTTTGTTTTTTTTTTTTGTTTAAATCGTTCTACTTGCCATTGAATTATCTAAGTTTTTACGTTCTATAGATATCGAATCATTTGAAAATGAATTAGAACAATCAACAATTTTTTATTATTGTTAATTATGAGTTTTTAAATTTTATAGTTTATAAGTTTCATATTTTCTTATAAAATATGAATATAAATAAAGATAATATAGAAACTTTATTATATAATTATATATGTATTAATAGCTATTTAAATAATTAATTACTATTTTAATAGGTGAGATGATATAAATGAACTTTGTCAAAAAAAGAAATTAAATGTTTTAAATATAATTATAATTCATTAGATCATGTGTGCATTTTCTTAAAATATTTGATTCTCGAAATTGAGATGCATATATACTTTCTTTCTTACCGACCGAACATTTAAATCAATTGTACAAAAGTGACATCTGTAGGAGATTTGTAATTTACATTATCGATAATAAAGGAAGTATTATTTTTATATCAATGAAAAATTTGTTATATTATTTGTTATGTTAATATAACTAATTAAAAATACTGATTAATAAGTGAAATTTAATAATTTATATGAGAAAGAATTATTATTAGAAATATAATATTATATATAGATTATATATAGATTATATATAATATTATATATAGAAAATTAATATAAAAAAATTATAAAATAGGTAAATAATTTCACACTTTTTTATTCAATCCTAGCTCTTTTATATCAATTAATTAATTTTCTTATTAATTTAAAGTTATTATTTATTAATCACATTTTAATTTAATTTTTTTTATTATAATTTTTTTAAATTATATATAAAAATTTTGTTAAATAATTTAAGATAAATTTTTGAAGAATATTTATAAAGTATTGAATTATAAAGTTAAAAGAGAATTAAAAGTGAAAATTTATTTTACGAAGGAATAGAAAATAAAAGTTTAAAAAAACATAATACTAATTTTTATAATTTTTAAAAACTGTTTTTTTAATACTAATTAAAATAATAAAAATATAAAAAAAAACATTAGATGATAAATAACAAAATATATAATATAGGATGATTTGTATAATTGCAAGAAGTTACAATACACAAGAAATAGAGAAAAATATAAGAGGAGCATTGAAAGAAAGAAACATGGTTTAAAGAGAATTTTCAAGTAAATTAAGTGCAATTTTTTACATTTTATAGTTGCATCAATTGAGTATAAGAATAAAATTTTTAAAAAAATCTTAGATTATAAAATACATAATCTAAAATATTTTAATTATTTAATCAATTTACATTCTTACGAAAATAATTAATTAAAATTAAAAATATATATTTTTTTTAATTTAAAAAAATTAATTTTTTAAGAAAAGTACAAATAAATAAATTCATATTATAATTATATGATATTATATATTTATAGAGTTTGTATAATTCATATATATTATTCATAGAAATATATATACAAATATTTTATTTCTATTTAGTTATAAATTGTATATAT